TGATAAATATGTAATATTTGTATATGAGCGGTACCTCTTGGTACTGTCTATAATAATATATTTCTTCTATCTCAAGAAAAAGTTTATTGATGCAGTATTAGTTCTCAAATTTCTTAAAGATTTCAGTAGTTGATATTAGTATCAATGAAGGCTTTAGGTGATTTGGTTAATATAATAAGATCACTGAACTTCTCTTTTTGATGACAGAAAAATATTATTAGAGGGAGAAAGAGCAAATATAATTTAAAGGCAGATAAGGTGTCCTCAGAATGGAAGAGATAAATACAAATATAAGAAAGCCAAGTTTTCTTAGTACAAGATCACATCAAAATCTCTTTGTAGTGTATATAAATGAGTCCGCTCAAAGAAACTGTAAATTTTAGCTCAATGAAAGGCAAGATGGAACATGCTCTCCCAAAGATCATGGATCAGGTGATACCATTACTTAAGAGATCTTTCCATTTCTTTCATACCAAATGACTCATAGACCTGCAAAAATATTTCCTTTCTAGAGCATCAAATGTTACTTATTCCTCCCAAACCAGCATAAGTTGAGATGATAATCTCCAAACTTCATATGCCTTATACAATTCGAAGGAGGAGCATAATCAGTAAAAACCTTTCAGGCAACCTACAATGTTATTATTGTTTTATAAGCTTGCAATGCACATAGGACAAAGATACAGTGAAAGAGCTGTTAGAGGTCTGTGAGCCTAGAGGAGGGTTATTGGTATCAGTCCTTGTAAGGACCATAGTCTAACTAAAAGCCCTTACCTCTGGGGGAACTTCACTAACTAAAAGAGGAAGGAAAAACAACTTTGTAGTTAAATAGGACCCTGGATAAAACGTTAAAAAAGATTTACAAGTGTAAGCCTCTGTTCGCGGTATGAATATTGGGTTCTTGGATGAGCTTATGGAGAGGAAAGGCTTTGGGGTTAGATGGAGGAGTTGAATTTCAGGGTACCTTTCTTTTGTATCTTTTGCTATTTTGGTGATTGGCTAATCTAGATCTTTGTTTTGTGGGGCAACATGAGTTGAAGTAGAATGATACTCTCTCCCCTTTTATCTAACAATTGTGGTTTGTTAGCCCTTTTTTAAAATAAAAAAAGAAGATGTATTAGAAGTAAGGAGAAGATAAATATAAGGAGGATTAGATATCCTCCAATAGAAAAAAAAATGAACATATTAGAGAGAGACTAACTACTCAAAAGAGAGATAGCACTCAATCTCTGCACAAAACTTTTATAGAAACATCCTTAGAGTTCCCATTTCTTGGCCAAAATAGTAGCCAAAGAACAAACTTTATTTAAAGGAACCAAAAATTGTGACTTTTAGTCCCTAAAATGAAAGATTCTAGCATCCTGTTTGTCCAAATCACCCACAGGCCAGCAAACACAGCCCCAAGCCAAAGACTTTTGAACTCCTTCATACTTTCAATGAAGTTGTAGGAAGAAAAGCGGAGGCCTCTTGGGGTGTGATCCAAGAAATATAAGAAGTTTAAAAAACACACCATATTCTCCAAGCTATTTCACAGGGTTGGAATAAATGGTCACGTATAAATACAAAAGTATCAAAAACATGATGCCAGATTCTCTAGGTTATCTCACAGTATTAAAACAAATGAATGAGTCTCAGCATTACTAAACACATTACGCACACCCAGTTTGGGAGCTTGAAACAAACGATTCATATTAATAGGGCTATTTTTAGCCGTGGTCCAAACAAAAACTTTGACCTTAAAGGGAGCCGGTGTCTTACAAAAGGGCTTATGAAATTGAACAGTTTGGTTAGCAAGATTATGAGTAAGAAATTTCATATGAGACTTACAGGAGCAGATACTGAAGGAATCCAAGTCAAACTTGACTTTCTGGATGATTAGAAAGCACAAGATATTCTAGAATCTGATCAAGATAGGTTGTATTAAAGACTTTTTGTTCATTAAACTTTCTGAAAAGGAGAAATTCCAGGACATAGAATTGTGATCACAAGCCAAAGTAGATGAAACAGGAGATTTAATGATTTATGGATAGCTTGTAAAGTCGGGAAACAGAAGCAAGAGATGCATTATCAAACCAAAGGATCCTCTTGAAAGAAAAATTGAGCTGCATGCCGTTCTGTGCCATAAAAAAAAGTGTGGTTGAGGGCCTGCATGTGGGACATGATTGAACATGCTTGAGACACCTATTCTAAATTTGGCTTTTGTTTCTCATTTCCAACACTTTGTAATTGCCTTATGAAACATTGCAGACCCCTAAAGCTACTGTCGAGGTCAAGGAACTTGGAGTAGATATATGTAAAGAAGGTGGATCCAAGCCTAATCTGTTTATTAAGCTACACATACTACCTATTTTTCTTCACATGGGTGAATCACGGGCTAGTTTGGACCAATCATCTACGTTAATTGATGGAAGATGCATTTCCACTGTTCAGACATCCTCTAGCATGATGGAGAATTCTTCCGCTCCTTTTTTCTGTGAAGAGTTCTCTCTCACTTGTGAATTTGGTCATGATAGGTACGCATTCCTTTTAATTTTTTTTCTTTATTTTCTCAAAATATCAGTTATCTTGGCATAGAGGAAGTTGGTTGATCAGTGAAAATACAAAATTAATCTTTGGGCTACCTTTTTAATTAGCATGTGCCTCTTGGTTTAGCTTAATCATATGTTAGTTTTCATCAATTATCATTTTGTGTTTTCTCTTCCTTAATGTAGGGAAGCAGGTGTAATTCTACAGAATCTGGATGTATCCTGTGGAGATGTTGCTGTGAGTCTCAATGAGGAGTTGCTTTCCAAAAGCAAAAAATCTTCAGACACTACTCACACAGATAAAGGCATGGAATCAACTATTGGTTCTGGGGCTGCTCCAAAGCCTCACAAGAAACAAGCATTGCTTGTTGCACTTACAAAGAATGCCAGTATTTTCCCAGAGAAGGTTAGTGATTTTTCTGATAATTTTTCACTTAGATCTGTCTTGACTTCATCATCTTCATGATCGGAACTGAAAGAGTTGATTATGTTATATCAACCACACTGATTTATTAGAATTAGAGCAATCCCCTGGACTGGCATATGATTTTATGTTTTTCTTTATAGCTATTAAATTTTTCTTTCTTTTTTTTTTTATTTTTAGATCCTGTTTTTGTTTTTAGCTAATTTCACTTTTTTTTTTTTCCTTTTTTAATTTATTTTCTTGGCGTATACTTTTTTTGAAATAATATTTTCTTGGCATATACTATCATCGTCCAACTTTGTATTCTCTTTTTTCTGTATACCGAGAAGAAAAATAATGGATGGGTATTCTTCGTTTGGGTTTTCTTCATTTGTATGTGTCAGCCTATCAATTCGCCTGGGTTAATCATAAAATTGTCTCATTATTAGTGCCCTGAGGATAAACATGGGAGGTTCTACTCAACTGGATCCTTCATTGATAGTTTGTTACGAAATTAATTATGTTAGTATGTTTGGCGAAGCATCAATCTCTCTCATCAAGGCAAGGTATTTACGCCGTGATAGATTGATAGCTGCAAGTTGGTTTATATATTTTAACTTCCATGATACAACTTATTTTGATAAAGAAAGAAATCTTACTGGAAAGAAAGAGGAAGAAAACTCATAATTGGAATGTAAGATATCCTTCTACAAAACTGAGAAACAGAAAAGACGAGAACAGGCAGGCCTTGAAATAAACTAGCAGTCCAATCCTGTAACAAACTAGTCCGAGAGCTGCCAGAAGAAGCTATGAGCTTTAAAGCAAGGCCAAAAATACCAGTATATCCTAAACTAGGTAAAGGAACCAGAAGTTATGATATTCTATCTGAAAGTTGTATTTTCCACTAGTTAACTGTCTGTGCTATCTGTTTTCTTAACAAACATGTGGAAAAAGAGGTACAAATTCATTTTCTTCATTACTGCATTATATTGGGACAATCTTCGCATTTTTGTAAACTTTATTTATGTTGTTTCCTCCTGCATCTTATCTATCTCTGACAAACTTCAGTGTAAAAATTCCTATTTTTCTTGGGTTTTGGGTATTGTAGTTGGAGAATAATGTTAGGAGCTTCATTCAACATGTCAGTTCTGCAGATTTTATGGCAGATGGCATGGCTAATTATAGGCTGCACATGGTTCTTAAAGACATTTTCTTTGTCTATTAAGCAAAGGGATTGGGAGGCTATTTCATAACGAAGTCTGCCCATTTTACTTGTGTTTTGTTTTCTTTGGTTCGGTAGGAACATAATTGGTAAGCTTCTATTCAAGAAAGCTTTGCATCTATCACACTAAATTTATAAGTAAACGTGAATTATTCCTAGATTAGATGCTGAAATATTTATTACAGCAACAATCTCTTTAAGTGAGATGGCACTTAAACACATCCCAAGTATTTTCTGAGTTTCCTTGTATTACATTTTGACACGTTTATGACAGAAAATTGGGATAGTAAAAGTTTCCTCAACTCTTGAGACTAGGAACTGCCTATCCATTAGAACTGACTGAAGAATTCAACACACAGCTGCCTATATTAACAGATACTAGACATGTCAACAGATAGCACTACACAGTTGGTAGATGAT